ATTATTTTCCCGGTGCCGGGTTAAGTATTTTTTTTTCCTGAGAAAGTTTCTGCCGCTTTTGCCGGTATACATCCGCAATAACCGCACCCACAATAATCGCGCCTTTGGTCATTTCCTGATAGTAGGCGTCTAAACTTAAAAATGTGAACCCCGAGATAATCACACCAAAAATTAACATGCCGATCATCGTGCCGATAATACTCCCGCGTCCACCGGTCAGGGATGTCCCCCCGATAACAGTCATCGCAATTGCATCCAGCTCATACATCACGCCCATCCCTGCCTGCGCTGTTAAACCGCGCGAAGAAATAATCATACCTGCAAACGCCGCCAATACACCGGCAATTGTATAGACTAAAATTTTATGCCGCTCTACGTTAATACCCGTAATTCTCGCCGCCTGTTCATTTGAGCCGATGGCGTACGTATGTTTGCCGTACAGAGTATACTTCATAATAAAGTGAAACAGAACGCTGATAACCAGAAAAATATAAACCGGGTTCATGCCTTCACCAATTGCCGCAAAGCTGTCAATCGGAAAGGAAACAGGTTGCCCTTTGGTATACCATTTGGCTAATCCGCGCGCCGATACCATCAGCCCCAGCGTAGCAATAAACGGCGGGATACGCGTATACGCGATCAGACAGCCGTTAATCATACCGGCAAGCACTCCGCAGGTGACCCCTACCAGAAGCGGAATAATAACGGGTAAATCCGTGAGGGAAGGATAAACAGCTCTTTCGTACGTACTCACCTGCGCAAAACTCATCACAATCATTGCGGTTGCGCCGACGACTGAACCCGAGGAGAGGTCAATCCCCCCGAAATAATGACCTGCGTAACACCGACTGCAATAATGCCGATTACCGACACCTGCAAAATCATAATTTGCAGACGCTGTTCGTTAAACAAAAAACTCGTTCCCTGAAAAATCCAGCCTAAAAATTCAAATAAAATAACAATGCCTATCAGACCGATCATCGCATTCATTTCCTGAGATCGGAAACGGGATGTGATTTTTTTTGCCGTTGATTGGACGGATTCCGATTGTGTAGTCATGGCATTTTTATACTTATATATATTTTTTGATAAGGCGGTTTTCCGAAGGCCGTACACCTCCAAAAACCTGATACAGAACTTACAAAATCAGACCGGTAAAAAAAACGGACTGATAAAAACCGGCAGATGTCTGCCGGTTTTTATAACACTCAAACTGAACCCGCCGGCCGGCAGGATTCAGTCAGTTTTTGATTAGTTTTTGGACATGAATTTCTTCATGTTAGCCGGTGTAACCAATTGGAAGGGGATATATACTTTGCTCTTAACAGATTTTTTATCCGACAGCTGAATCGCCGCATCAATTGCGCCCTGCCCCTGTCCGGCTGCATCCTGGAATACAGTAACATCCAGATCACCCGCCGCCATTGCCGCCAGTGCTTCCTGTGTAGCATCTACACCCCCTACAATCATTGTTTTCATGGAAATTCCGGCACTCTTCATCGCCTGAATAGCACCCAGAGCCATCTCATCGTTATTGGCAACCACTGCATCAAACTTCACACCGGCAGACAGCCAGTTGGTCATCAGGTCAGCAGCTTCCGTTCTTTTCCAGTTCGCGGTCTGTTTCTGAACAATTTTCATGAAGGAGCAGTCTTTTGTAGCAATTACATCTTCTACGTCTTTTGTCCGCATGCGTGCTGCCTGATTGGAAAGCTCTCCCATCATCACAACGATATTTGCGCCTTTGCCCTTACCCGCGGCTTTCAGCAGGCGGCAAACTTCCTGTGTCTCCAGAGTACCGGATTCCTGTTCGTTGGATGCAACAAACGCCTGTCCTTTGGGCAATTTGTTTACGTTCACCGGCTCACGGTTTACATATACCAGCGGAATCCCTGCTTCAGCTGCCAGTTTACTCATAGCTTCGGTTGCATCGGTATCCACAGGGTTTACCACAATCGCATCCACTTTAGCCGCAATGAAATTTTGGATTTGATTCAGTTGTTTGGCCACATCATTCTGTGCGTCTTCGATCTGTAAATCAACGCTTTCTTCTTTGCATATTCACTCATTCCGTTGCGGATGACCGTCAGGAAGTTATCATCAAACAGTGCCATCGTGACACCAATTTTTTTGCCCGCCGCAAATATACCCGTTGAAAATAAGAAGACCAAACACAGTGTTAAAATGATTTTTTTCATGATTTTATCCCGGTTTTGTTTAGTTGTTTTTGTTGTTAAACCACAATTCAGAATTACCTGCGTCAGTCTGAAACCTATTTTGGAAAAACATCTTAACTGTCCGCGCCTTAACTCATTTAACGAAAAACAGATTAAGTACACAGACATGTTGCCGATCTGAACTGACTATACAAACTGCGAAAGAATATAACCGCATTTTGTATTTGAATCATAATTACCTGCATAAAAATAAAAGTCAATAAATAAAAAAGTGAAAATTAATTTTATTCAGACAAAACACATCATACCGGCGCATATTAAAAGCATTTCAGCAGATTTTAAATTTATACCTCTGCGCATAATTTTTGAATTCAGGCGCGAAATTAAAAGAAAATATTTTTGAATTGTTAAATCAAAAAAAATATTTTTATACTGAGGGCATATTCAATTGGATGAATCTGTACTTATAAAGTACCGCAGTTCAAAAATACAAACGGTATTTTCTGATGCTGTTTTAATTGTAAATTCAGTATCAATACTAACCTCTTTAACCCTGTAAGCGATGCATCACAAAATTAGAATCGGAATGGTGGGCGGCGGAGCCGGCGCGCTGATTGGCAACTCCCACCGTATTGCGATGCGCATGGATAATAAATTTGATTTGCTCGCCGCCTGTTTTTCACGGGATCCGGCGCGCAACCGACAAACCGCACAGGAAAATATGATTGCGCCCGACCGCACATATGCCGGCTACAGCGAAATGGCAGAGAAAGAATCCGCCCGCCCGGATGGGATAAAAGCTGTTTCAGTCGTCACCACTAACGATTCACACTTTGAGATTGCGTCTGCCTTTCTGAAAAAAGGTATTCATGTTATCTGTGATAAACCGCTGACGCGTACGGCGCAGGAAACCAAGAATTTGATGGAACTCGCACAGAAACACAACTGTGTCCTCTGCACCACGTATAACTATACGGGCTATGAAATGGTACGCGAAGCCGCTGTCATGGTGCGCAACGGCAGTATCGGTAAGATTACCGGTGTGACCATAGAGCATATTTCCGGCTGGGTAAATTTCGCGCTGACCCAGCCCAATCATCGGCAGGCGGGCTGGCGGACGGATGTTTCCGTTTCCGGTAAAGACTCCGCGATGCAGGATTTAGGGGTCGCATGCCTACCATCTGATGCGCTACGTATGCGGTATGGATCCGTGTCCGTGTGTGCGGTGATGGACGCGACCCTTCCCGGAAAAGATATTTACGACGAAGCGCGCGCGATGTTTCGCATGGAAAACGGTGTGCTGGGCAGTCTGTGGGTTTCCATGACGACAACCGGGATGGAACACGGGCTGACTATCCGCGTGGTAGGGTCAAAAGCTTCTCTGGAATGGAAACACGAAGACCCGCAGCATCTGCTGATCAGAACGGAAGACTCTACCCGTATGATTAAATCACACGGGCAGCGCACCAATTCTCCGGACGCATCGCGCCTATATCCGTATGGGACTGGGACACGTAGAGGGCTTTCTGGAGGGTTTGCGAATGTATATTCAGATTTTGCGCATGCCGTCAGTGAGATACAGCAGAAAAAGCACTATGAAAAACGGCTGATTGATTTTCCGGACGGGGAAGACTCGTGGCGGACTGCCCTCTTTCTGGAAGCCGCGCTGGCCTCCGCCGAAGATAACAGCACGTGGAAACCCGTTACTCCCAACCATTAAGTTTTATCTTCCCGATCCCACACGTGTGCACTGGACGCGTCATAGAAACCAAGTTTATTTTTTACTGTCATAAAATAATTTTTTAGCCCTTAATATAAACTCATCTCGTATTAGACGGGATTCATTGTCATCTTTATTTGTTGGTGTAAAGACAGAAACCCATATCTTTTCATATTGATTTCTTTATTGCTTCAAATATTATGGGCATCATTTTCAGCGAGGTGAACAGAGCCGGTATAATAAGTCCCTTCGCGTTTTCAGGCTTTCTATCCCAACTTTAGTAAATCTGATTATTTATATCAATGCGTTCTCTCTGACGTACCCTCAGAACAATTAACGAGATTCTTAATTTATGATATTAATTTGTTCCCGCATTGAACTCTTCCGATTTTTTCCGTCTTCATCAAAAAAAATGTAGCTCCATGCAATAAAAATACTTCTGATTTTTCTATTTTTTACCCAATTACAAATGATTTTCTTGCCCAAATCATCATTTCTTAAGTTTCTCTTCTTAATTATTACCATATAATAAAAGACGTAATTAGCGTATAAAAATAAGAAAATTATGCAAAATTTAGCACATGATTTAAGTTTCAATTAAAGATGGCTTTAGGGTGATTGTCAATAATTGTTTTTTCTAAAGATTTCTTTCAGTTTGTTCTTCATTGCTACAATTGTCTCTAAAACTGTTGTTTCATCTATTTGGCACATATCGAACTACTTTTTTAGCATCCGATAATTTTTAATTATAAATTCAAAATTATTTGTATCGAAATGCAGTACAACATTTCTCCAATTCAGAAGCTTCATCAAATTTTGCAGCAATCTAGTAAAGATTGATAATCCAAATTTTAGGAAACAGCGCAATACTAAAACCATTGCCCATTAGTATATGTCTATTACTTGGATCCGGAAATCACTAAGGAGCAGGGCCTGTTCAAAAGTTTAAAACTTTATTCTTTAGTGTAAGACACCTAACACAAAGATATTTGAAAAAAAACTTTAGGAATTTCTTTTCAGTTTAGTATCTTTTAACTTGGAGTCAGACATCTTAATACAAAGATATTGATTAAAAACTTTAGATGTAAAAGAAATAAAACTGGCGGAGAGAGAGGGATTCGAACCCTCGATACAGTTTCCCGTATACACACTTTCCAGGCGTGCGCCTTCAACCGCTCGGCCACCTCTCCGTTAGAAATGATATATAGACATGGTGTACCCGAAGGGATTCGAACCCCTGACCTTTGGAACCGCAATCCAACGCTCTGATCCAGCTGAGCTACGGGTACACATTTTTTGAAATCGGCGGCGGAGAGAGAGGGATTCGAACCCTCGGAACCCTTACGAGTTCGCCGCATTAGCAATGCGGTACTTTCGGCCTCTCAGTCATCTCTCCGGCGCATTTTTTTTGGCGGAGGGGGAGGGATTCGAACCCCCGATACCCTTTCAGGTATAACGGTTTTCAAGACCGCCGGTATCAACCGCTCACCCACCCCTCCTCAGATGTTTTGAGGGGTCTCTAAGCAAAAACAGACACTATGCTGTATCTGCAATACTTTGTCAATCCCGGATATAATATTTTATGCCGCGGGCTGACCGGTGCCATCCGGGCGGATTTCAGACGGTTTCCGGACGGATAATCTCCAGTCCGTGCATATACGGCTGAAGTGCTTTCGGAATAAGGACACAACCGTCTTCGGTCTGATAATTTTCCATCACCGCAATCAGCGTGCGCCCGGCTGCCAACCCGGACCCGTTCAGCGTATGCACAAATCCTGTTTTGCCGGTTTTATCTTTATAACGTATATTGCGCGCCGCGCCTGAAAATCGGTACAGTTGGAACAGCTTGAAATTTCACGGTATTTATTCTGTCCCGGCAGCCAGACTTCAATATCATAACATTTTGCCGCAGAAAAACCCATATCCCCACCGCACAAGCAGCATCGTGCGGTACGGCAGTTCCAACAGTTGTAAAATATGCTCCGCGTGGCTGACCATTTTCTGATGCGCTTCTTCAGACTGTTCCGGCAGGGTAAACCAAACCAGCTCTACTTTATTAAACTGATGCTGGCGCAGATAGCCCTTTGTATCTTTTCCGTACGAGCCCGCTTCACTGCGGAAGCACGGTGTGAAAGCGGTGTATTGAAGCGGCAGATTTTCAGCAGGAATAATCTCATCCGCATATATATTGGTGAGCGGCACTTCCGCAGTGGGAATTAGGAAACGCCCCTCTTTGGTTTGAAACAAATCGGCTTCAAACTTCGGCAACTGCCCTGTACCGTACAAAATATGGGGGTTTACCATCAGTGGCGGCAGGCACTCTTCATAACCAAATTCACGGGTCTGAATATCCAGCATAAAGTTAATCAGTGCGCGCTCCAGTAAAGCTCCCTGTTTTCTGACGAGAGTAAACCGTGCACCGGAAAGCTTTGCGCCCGTATGAAAATCCAAAATACCCAGACTCTCACCCAGTTCTGTATGATCTTTTGCCGAAAGGGAAATGTTTTAGGACTGCCGACCGTACGCACAACTGTATTGTCGTTTTCATCTTTGCCCGACAGTACTTCTGCCAGTGGCGGATTGGGAATGATCTCCAGTGCCGCGAGCAAGTTCACTTCATATTGCGCGGATTGATCTTCCAACGTTTTAATTTGGCTGTTAATCCCTTTCACTTCTTCAATCAGCGGCAGACGCGCATCGCCCTTCTCTTTTGCCACCTGCTCTGACAGTTTATTGCGTTTGCTTTTGAGAGTATCCGTTTCTGTCTGTACCTCACGCAACAGGCGATCTGTCTCCAGTATTTCTGCAAAGCTGATTTGAATATTACGCTTTGCCAGTGCCTGCATGAACGGAACGGCATCCTTCCTGATTTCTTTAATATCAAGCATAAACTATCGGACTTTGAAGTATATAATTACCGTAATGACCAACAGCCAGATGGCTTTAATATGGCTGTGCCAGATAATTTTACTGTTAATCGCATCCCGACTCGTATATTTATCTGAAAAATATTTACTTTTAATCCCGATTTTCTGGAAATAGCGGAAGTAGAAGGATTTTACGGTCGCTTCCTGCGATGAAAACATTACCTGCTGATGGTGGTGATAGGGAGCGCGGAAGAAAAACCGGTTTTTTTCCGCATAGTCTCTGCCTTTTATCCGCAGCATCATCTGAAACCAAATCCGCTGAATAAAACTGCTGAGACCGGAAATAAAAAAAATTCCGCCGACAATCGGCATAAACAGTTCCGCACGGAGTAAAATAAATAAAACCGCAATCATCCCCCCCAGCCCCAGCGAACCGACGTCTCCCATATATATCGCGGCAGGCGGGCAATTGTATTTCAAAAACGCAATCAGGACACCAATCGTAATGAATGACAGCACTGCAACTTCTTTAATATCGTTGGAAATAAACAACAGTTTCAGTTTGTAGCTCCATTCATTATCCCCGCCGATATAAGCGGCGGCAGCGATAAAAAATAATGTGGTAATTAAGGGGATGGTCACGAGAGAGTCAAGTCCGTCAGTCATATTGACAGCATTGGCACTGCCGACAATGACGAAAACGGCAAACGTGAAATATAACACAGGATGCATATCCGGCAGTCCCTCTTTGAGCGGAATAAACGGCACCTGCACATAAAACCGCCCTTCAGGGTCTAAATACATGATAGCCACTACAGCTATCCCGGCGGCGACAAATTCAAGTGCAAGGCGCGAGATTTCACTTAGCCCTTCCGACGTGTCAGAGTATATTTTCTTTTGAATAACGCCCTTCTCAACCAGAAGTTTGTTTTTGACTTTGCCGTAATCATCAAAAAACCCGATGGTACTGTACGCGATAAGAATAAACAGGGTAACCAGAATATAAGGATTGAACCACACCCACAGCAGGGAAGAGATAAGGATCGCCGGTACAAGCACTGCACCGCCCATAATTGGTGTGGCACCGGAATACCCGGCGGTAACACTTTCTTTATTGAAATCGGAATTAAATCCTTTCTTGCGGAAATAGATGATAAACAGGGGCAGGATATAACTGACTGAAAAGTACGCCGTCAGATAAGCCATCCCGCCGCGAAACAGAACAGATTTGAATATCTGATAAGGGAAAAAATAATAAAGCCAGTCGCTGAACATGAATTTTGAAATCCTGCCGTCAGATTAATCACATAACTAATCTTGCAGAATAGCACCGGCATATCATTCCGTCAACAGCATCTGATTATAGCTGATCTCTTTTCATAAGTTGCAGAATATATGCTTTAACAAAGCATTAAATGAATAAAAACTGCGGACAGCGAGAAAGAATATTCATGATGTCCGTAGAGAAATTAAATATTCAGATTACTTGGCAATGGTAATGTAGATATTACCCCGGTTTGGTTTATAGACCAACAGAACCAACGGCTGATTTTTCTTCAGTGCTTTGAGTTCTTTTCTGAATTCCTCCATGGAGTTAAACTTACGGCGGTTAATTTCACGAATCAGATCCCCTTTTTCAATCATTTGCGCAGCGTCCCCGTCCGGTGCAACATCAGTCACCAAAGCACCGGGATACGGATAACCGTTCGCGGACGCTTCATTAGAATTGAGATAGCGCAGCGCTAATCCCAAATCTTCTTTTTGGTTTTCTGATCGGGCGCATCGGCGGTATTTTCGGGCATTCCCACTTTTACGCGGACAGTCTGCAGTTTACCGTCACGGTATATCTTAACCGGCACCTCTTTATTGATTTCAGTTTCCGCAACAGCCTGCTGTAAATCTCCGGTACGGAGTGTTTTGATACCGTTAAATTCAATGACAACATCTCCCTGCTTCAGACCGCTCTTTTCTGCGGGTGTCCCCTGTCCCACATTATTAATCAGTACCCCCTGCACATCTGCGGGAACAGAAAACCCGGATTTCATTTCGTGGGTTAAATCTTGGATACCTATGCCGATATACCCGCGCTCCACCTTGCCTTTTGACTTCAACTGGTTAATCACATTCTTTGCCACATCTACCGGCACCGCGAAGCTAAGTCCCTGACCGTTGGCAGAAATAGCGGTGTTTATTCCCACAACTTCGCCTTTGGTATTGAACAGCGGACCGCCGGAATTCCCAAAGTTAATTGCTGTATCGGTCTGGATAAATTTGCCGTAAGCAGAACTGCCCGCGCTTTCACCGCCGAGTGTCAGATCACGCTCAACCGCAGACACAATACCCGCCGTAACCGTGAAATCCAATCCCAGCGGATTACCAATTGCAATTACCCAGTCCCCGATTTCCAAGTTCGCAGACACCCCCATCTTAACCGCGGGAAAGCCTGTTCCCTCTATTTTGATAAGAGCCAAATCCGTACGCGGGTCAGTACCAATTACTTTGGCATCATATCTCTTTTGCTCAACAGTGAGTATCTGGATTTTATCCGCGCCTTCAACCACGTGATTATTCGTAATGATATAACCGTCCGAACTGATGAAGAACCCCGATCCAAGCGCGTTTGATTTGCGCTCGCTCGGCGCATTTGGGAAGAACCGTTCAAAAAACGGGTCTAAATATGCCGGACGCTTGATAGTTGTCGTTGTGGCGATGTGTACCACTTTATTTTTTTCACTTTTGACAATCGGCGCAAATGAGTCCGGTGCCGCAATCAGTAAAGAGGTACCAAACAAAGCCGCGATTAAAGATGCCGAGAGCAGTTTTATACTGTTTTTAATCATACACATTCTGTTAATTTTCTTGAGAGTTAATAACAAACGACCCGGTAAAAAAAACTTAACCGGATTACCGATAAGCCCTGTGTCATCCGCTGCAACAGGCTAACCTGAATAATCCGAATTGTTACCGTAGATAACGCATGATGTTTAAATCATATTGAGATAAAATAAGAATTAAGGTCCGAAAACTTTATCTGTAAAGGCGGGCAGACAATATAAATCAAAAATTCTTCAGAGAGGGGACACCGATACCCGGAACAGGCAACGCAAGGAGACTCCGCCCCCTGCGTCAAGACAGGAAAAGGGTGCAAAACCGTTTTCAATACTATGAAAAGAATCCGCCGCAACCTTTATAAAATAGCAGTCTGATTTTATTTATGAAAAGTACGTAAAGCAGGTCTTGTTGTACGCGTACCAGAACTCTGTGCGCCCTTCCCATTTTTGGGATTTGCCGAGATACATTACTTTGGGCCTGCTGTTGAGGTCAAAAATCATGCGCAGTCCTTCCTGCGGTTCCGCAGAAAATATATCTGATATATTTTCCGCCTGTTTTTTTTCCGAAGTCAAAGATATTTTACCCGCCTGACCGGGCGACAGTATATCATTCAGTTTGGCTTCTTCCATTTTATTCCTCGCTGTTGGGTTGACAGACAATTACGCTTAACTGACCGTAGTTTAGTTATCGGCAAGTTAAGGCATTTTTTTATTTTATATATGTAAGACATAATTTTCGCTATTCGCGGGATCCCGTCAACAAATAATTACATTATTTTTTGGTGGCGGCGTCCGGGTTTT